TCTCCTCCTTCTTGTTCTTCCTTTGCGAGCACTCAAGTCTGGTTTCTGGCTCAGTGGAGAGCGTAAGCTCTCAGAGCTCTGGTTTGAGGGTTAGCAGTGTGTGGCTGCCAGCGGAGAACGTAAGCTCCCCCTGGCGGTGGTGGACAGACGTGTCCAGGAGCCACAGGCCACCCCCCAGGGGACACCCAGGAGGATTCGGGGAGACGGAAGTGCCCCCCATCAGGTAGAGGGACAGACAAACGCTTGTCAGTGTATTTTGCTGCCAACCCGTCTGGCTTTTTTCCTCTGGTTAAGTCGACTGTGTGTCTTTAATTTTTGCTTCGGAACTTGTGTTAAACATTTTACTGTGTGTCTGGGATTGCGTCTCGTTGTGTTTCGTTTGTATTGTCTTGTCTCTGTCCTTGTTCAAGTAACTCCCAGTATGGGACAAAGCCATTCCACACCTCTGTCCCTGACCCTTGATCATTGGACGGATGTCCGCAAAAGGGCCCAGAATCTTTCTTTTTCAGTGGAACGCAGGACCTGGCGGACACTCTGCACCTCAGAATGGCCCACCCTCGGAGTTGAATGGCCCCCGGAAGGGTCCTTCCACCTCCCTTTAATCCGCAAAGTCAGAGATTCTGTCTTTCAGCCAGGGCCGTGTGGCCATCTAGATCAACAGCCATATGTTTTAACCTGGCAGGACCTCTGCGAGTTTCCTCCTATGTGGGTCAAGCCTTTCCTTGTTCCCACTCCTGTTCCAATCTCTTCCCCTACGATCCTATCACTTAAACCTTCCTCTCCTCCCCTTCGTCCCTCCGTTCTCCCTGAGTCACAGGATTTAACTTTACTGGACTCCCCCCCCACCTCCTTATCCTCTACCCATGCTCCCAAACCCCCAATCCATTTTAGCTGACTCTCCTGCTGCTGACTCGGTCATCCCGCCGCTAGAGGTAATTGGGTCAGACCCAAGCCCTCCAGGGGAAGCAGCGGCAACAGTAGCTGAAGCAGCAGCCCCTCCCCCACCAGAGGAACCTGGACCGGCTAAAGGAACCCGCAGGCGGCGGATAATGGAGAACTTGGAAGCCCCGGTGATGCTTCCCATTCGTCCCTATGGGCCCACAATAGATGATGGGCACGGGGAAGAGATGCAGGCTTACCAATACCGGCCTTTCTTCTCCTCAGACCTTTACAACTGGAAAAATAACAATCCCCCTTTTTCTGAGGACCCCACCCGACTTACAGGTTTAGTCGAGTCACTGATGTTCTCACACCAGCCCACCTGGGATGACTGCCAACAGCTTTTGGGGACTCTCTTCACAACAGAGGAACAAGAGAGAATTCTCTTGGAAGCCAGAAAGAAAATTCTTGGACCAGATGGGAGACCAACCCAACTTCTTAACATCATTAAAGCTGGCTTCCCCTTAAACCAACCCAACTGGGACCCTAACACCTTTGAAGGTAGGGAGCATCTGTCCACCTATCGCCAGGCTTTTGTAGTGGGTTTCTGAGCGGCCGCTAGGCAGCCAACTAATTTGGCCAAGGTAAGAGAGATTATTCAGGGACCCAATGAATCTCCCTCCATGTTTCTGGAGAGAATTATGGAAGCATATAGGAGATATACTCCCTTTGATCCTCAGGCAGAGGATCAAAAGGCATCTGTTGCAATGGCTTTTATTGGGCAGGCTGCCCTAGATATTAAGAAAAAGTTACAACGTTTAGATGGACTACAAAATATGACCTTAAGAGATTTGGTCAGAGAGGCTGAGAAAGTATATTATAAGAGAGAAACTGAGGAAGAGAGGGAACAGAGGAGGGAGAAGGAAAGGGAACAAAAGGAAGATGAAAGGAGTAAAAGGCAGACTAAAGCATTGGCTAAGGTCCTGGTCACAGCCACAGATAGGCCAGAAGTTGGAAGGCAGGGAGACAGGAAGGGATACCTGGGCCCACGCCAAAGGCTGCCCCTGGCCTCAGATCAATGTGCCTACTGTAAAG